CCCCCTCCCATTTCTTTTTTGTGTTTGTTACTCTCTTGTAACACCTCTAATCTTACTTACTTACTAACTTACTTACTTACTTACTTACTTACTCTCTCCCTCTACCGTCAGGTAAATAACGCGGAGAGCAGTCGATGCCACGCGTGTCTGTCCCTGGCCACGTCCTCTAATTTCGGCACTCCCAGGCCCTTAGTTATTGCCTCATCTCTTATTGTGCTTCTATAGCTTCCAGTTGGTCTTCCCCAATTTCTCTTTCCAGTTGGTTTCCAATTCCACGTCTGATAGGGCAATCTTGTCTTCGGCATTCTCAGAACATGTACCAGATATATCCATCTTCTCCTTTTTATGGTTGTGTTTATATCTTCAATACATATGTACCAGCTCTTTCCAACACTTCATTATTTGTAATAAATTCGTTTCATTTTATTAGTAAAATAACGCCTCTAATTGTAGGCACTTATATGACTTTATTGTGTTGCAAGTGCATTAAAACTCTAACTAAAACTAAACTAAAGTAGATGCTAAGGCAATCGTTTTTATCCAATACCCTAACAGATGTACAAAACTTCAGCTAGTGCCCTGAGGGTTTAATATAGCAACACGCTGTCAGAAGGTCTATACTGATAAACCACACCATCCTTTATTTATATTGTACTCGTATTCATTCACTGTATTACCGTATATTGTACCATGGTAATAGTTCTCTGACATGTGGGCCAAACCATGAAAAAATAAAGTTGTAGTGACACACGTAACGGGGAGATGTCTAGCTGGAAAAAAACCTGAACAGTGACAGAGCCATTTAAAAATCATAATTGTTTGTTTGTTTGTTTATTTAGTTATTTGTTTATTTGTTTGTTTGTTTGTTTGTTTGTTTGTTTGTTGTTGTTTTTTGTTCGTTTGTTTGTTGTTTTCAAGAGCGAACCTCCCTCCAACAAAAACTTAAAAATACAAAAACAAGTTGCGTAAGTCTCTACCGTTTCATTTGTCATGCAATGGCTCATTTACTAATTCAGAATAGAATGTCCCATGCTGTGCTATTTTATAGTTTAAAATCTTTTAATTAGGTGACACGACGCAAAGAGGATAAATAGTAGTACATGCATTTATGAGCTCTTTGGTTGCACTCAACTTATCACCCTATCTTGCTCTTCGGACCTGTATCGAACTCCAGCTTTGCCGTCATAATCATCATCAAGTGTCAGATCTGCAACAGACAGCGGCGGTCATGGTTCTCCATTATTCATTTGCTTGGATGGTCTTAAAAAAGCTCTGAACTTTCCCCGTTACCCATCTATTTAGGTTCTCTAAGTAAGTCGCTCTCGGCCTGCCCCTGCCTCATTTGCCTTCAATTTTGTCACTGAGAGTTAGGTGTTCAAGACCTTTATGTCTATTCAGGTGTCCCAAAAACTGCATTTGTCTTTTCCTGATTGTTTTTCATTAGTGAGCGTCCCATGAGGGCTTTATCAAGTACTGCCTCATTTGATTTCTTTTCCTTCCAAGATACATGTATTCTCAGCAGTCTCCTAAGAAACCACATTTCCCTAGCGCTGTAAAAAAAAAAGTTTACATCAATTGGAAACTAAGAATAATACACGGCATGTAATGCTACGACTTGCGACTTGTTGCTGCTAACTTGTTTTGTACTTATAACATTTTCATTCCCGGTGACCATTGCCCAAGATCAGTTCTGTTCAATTCGACTCAGTTCCGTTTGGTCGTCAGGGCTAGCCAGATTTTCCTCCATGGAGGGAGAAAAGCCAACATCGTGGCAGCAGCCGAACGAAACCGAGAATGACCTTCAAAAAAACAAACGCGTTTTACGGGGTGCTCACTACGGATGGGATCGGCCCGATCCAGCTGTAGTGGGCACCCTCAATCAATTTTGAAGGCCGCGAGCGGGGCGATCGGCTTGAGGCAGGGGTCTATTTACAGCGTGCACTGTATCCTCCAGAAACTCAACCGAACCAAACCAAACCGATCTGGCCAATTGGCACCGGGTATAACGTGTGTTTCTGTAGTTCTGAAAAAGTTTGCTCATCATGTTTTTCTCTAAAAACTATATGTGAGGGATCGTGGTGAAATCAAGAGCTCGTTAAAAAAAAAAATCGAAATAACAGCTATCCGTGACTGACAATAGAATGTTGGTTCGCCGGCAAGAATACTCTTTATGTGCTGGTTTGTGCTCTAAAACTTCCTCAATGGGGAAGAAAAACTTAATCTTCTGTATAGTCGCAAGCTATTCAATTGTTTTAAGTCCTGAAAGAATAGTTTTCTCAGGAGAGAGAATATTAGTTTAATTCTTTTACAATCGTACCTTCATTATGTACACCTTACCGTGTTGTTGTTGTTGTTGCTGTTGCTGTGTTGTTGCTGTTATTGTTGTTGTGTTGTTGTTGATGTTGTTGTTGTTCTTGTTGTTGTTGTTGTTGTTGTTGTTGTTGTTGTTGTTGTTGTTGTTTTTGTTTTTCAACACTTAGAATTTGAACTTCAATCAAATATTCCTCCTACACATGCAGCCAAAACCACACATTAAGAAACAGCAATGTTAACAAGTTTCACAGTTTTAAGCTTAGTTCATCTGAACAGCTGACCGATGATATGAAGTGACCAAATTTTTCAGCATCCTAGAATACATTTAGATCTGCTGGGATAGATCACATCGACTGTTCTGTGTAAGACTCTGTTATAACGTCACTTTTCAAAATGGCGTATGGCAGAGTGCTCTTACTCCAGCACTAAAAGACCATGAGGCCTATAATTGTGGCCTTGTGCCTCTTTTTTAAAAACACTAAAAAGTCGACCTACATTAATTCGGCGTTGGTGGTCTAGTGGTTAGGCTACTGGACTCGTAAACATGAGATTGAGGGTTCGGGGGTTCGAGCCTCAGCTCGGCCTGACTTTGTGTCCTTGGGAAAGGCACTTTACACGAATTTCCCACTTGGCTCGGTCCTTTCGGAGATGGACGTTAAACTCGGAGGTCCCGCTTCTTAAATAACCAAACAATGTAGATTGGGACGTTAAACCTATACCATTTTCATATATAAAACCCAGTTTGAATCAAACGTAAGTGTCTTTAGTTCTTTCTTACTTTATCTTCCCCTCGAGCAGAAACAACTACTGCGAGACCAGCCCGAGACTGTGAGGCTTACCTGGTCAACGACAACCCCGACTGTTTCTTCGACACTTCCTCCTGCACGATGATGTGTAACTTGCCACAGCATCGCCAGGCCATCGCCTGGGCTCGACGCAACGAGGTTGCAGAGAACAGACCCAAGAGTTCTGTCCCTTGATGTGGACTATCATGAACGTTTCTCCTTTAGTAAAATTATAAAACCTATTCAATTTTGTTGCAGTTCTTTCAGATTATGTTGTCCAGTGAGATATTATGGTTTGTTGTTGAGCTTGCTTACTGGTCTTTATTTGCTCTTTTTTTTCAATTTTGTTCCTCCATTGAAAAAAAGCACCTGCTTTTCGTTCCTCTTTCGCAAAAGACGGTAAATTATTATAACTTTTTTTTTTTCCAATTTGAGATTGGGTTTTTTTTTATCTAGATCTAGGTAAAAAAATGAAGAAGACAGATCGATTGAAAGTGAGGATAAGAGTATTTTCATGTCTAATAGGCTGAACTTTTTTGTTGTTGTTGTTGGGTTTTTTTGGGGTTGGTTTTTTTTGGGGGGGGGGGGTTTGTTGGGGTTTTATTTTCGTCGATTGCCATGTTGCAAACAGAAACTTCCTCTATTATGGTAACCCTAGTTCACGATTTCAAATTATTGTAAAAATCAACTAATTTTCCACACCACATCAGTTTCACCTAATTTACACAACCCATCAGTGACAGAGGAAGAAGAGTTTGAATCTATTATAATACCCGAACTTTTAAAAATGGATAATACATGTATTATGTCCTAGTTGAAGGAGAACTATCTACCTCTTTTAAAGTAAATACTGGAGTAACACAGGGCTGCATATTAGCACCTGTACTTTTGGGAATTATTATCGATGTAGTTTTTTATGAGGCAGAACAAAAGCATTGAAACAGTCCAAACGATTTGAGTAGGCTTACAAACTCAACCCCCCCCCCCCCCCAACTAAAAAAAATAATAAAACAAGAGAAAAAAACAACAACAACTATGCTTTCCAGAAAGCTGAGAATGTTTCTGAGTTTTTTAGGGTCTGCTGGAGTAGTAATTAATTGTAAAGCGCATAGAGCTTGCTGTAGAGCGTTGATATGCGCAATATAAATGCAATTATTATTATTATTATTATTATTATTGTTATTATTATTGTTTTATTAGGCCCCCTATTACTCTTCTTATTCTTATTCTCTTATTATTATTATTATTATTATTATTATTATTATTATTATTATTATTATTATTATTACTATTATTATTATTGTTGTTGTTGTTGTTATTGTTGTTGTTGTTATTATTATAATTCTCAAATCATCGTAATCATTATTATTGTTATCATTATTGTCATTATTATTTTTATTTTTATTACAAACTGGTTTCATTCTTTGTGAGTTATAATTAATCTTGACCATATGTATGACTGGAGATAGAAGGACGTTGTCGACAATGGTAGTGATTTTTGTTCTGCATCCTATGACGGGCAACTATCTCTTCTAGGCTTACTTTGATTTTGTGTTTTGAAATAGGTCAAGGTCAATCAGACCACCAAAATGAGACGGAATCTGACGGCAAGAGGTTTTGACAAATTTCATTGGACTCTGTCATTTGCTGAACTTCAAAGTTTGTGATTTGTTTGTTTAATAGTATTACGTCACGCTCATAAGATAAATACCAACGCCATTTTAGCCATTTTGAGAAAATTAGGGAAAACGGGTTTTTTTTTCGAACTATTGACTCTGTGAAACGTATGAATTTTGGTACACTCAGTTGATTTTAAATCTGGATTATTCTTTTGTCCAAGTGAACTATATTTTTACCAAGCTGGCTCTGCTCTTCATTTCAGGAACAAAAACCCCAAACGTGCCAAAAAATTACTTAGGCAATTGTCTTATGAGCGTAACGGTTTGTATCTTATACTCTGAATTTGACTTCAGACTGCAGGGACAAGTGTTTGGGTCGTGAGAAGTATTCCTATCCGATTGTTTTGTTGTTGTTTTATTTCTTTTTACACTTCGTTTGTGTATCTACTTGTTTTCTTTTGGGCGATGCTTTTCACGTTAAGACGTCATGTGAAAATAGTCTTTTTGAACAAATGATTCACAAAACTTGCATCACCCTCGGCTTTTAAGAGCATATAATTTTTTTCGCAATGCTCAATAGCTATAAACAGTACTCACTACATTTTCCCAAATGCTTAATAGCTATAAATAGTACATTTGGGTGTTACATGTTGACATTTCGGCAGGTTCTTCATTATCAGTTGTGATAAAAACAAAATCCTATTAAAAGCACAGTTTTTAAAAAAACCTTCTTTTTTATCTTCAAATGGTATCCTCTGTTGCTATAGACAGGCTGAATGCTCATCTGGGTTGTATGAATGTGGATGCTTGATGGATGCTTTGGTAAGGTCTTGTTTGTTTTATTAAATATTTTACGGCGCTGGCAACTGCAAAAGGTCATATGAGCGCGCGGGTTGAATTTTTTCAGTTTGGTTTGAATTAATAATTTTAAATTACTCTTAACGATTTTGGACCACCAAAAATATTGCACACGGAGCCTCAAAGATTTTCGCCCTTATCCAAGAAGGTTAGGTGTTAGATTTTATCTACCATAAGGTCAGGGGTGTGGCTGAAAGACAGCAGTAAGAAGGATCCAAGGAGTAGCAGTTGAAAGGTTGCAGAAAGAGTCTGGAGCCCCAAGGAGAGGGCAAAGGATGTGAAGGGGTGGGGGCTGAAAGTGGAGAGGAAAGCAGACGACAGAATTGTTAGAGAGCAGGAAAGGGTTAACGGAGACATTTTAGTTAGAAAAGAAAAATGTTCCGTCGTTATCAGGATTCGAACCCGGGACCTATTAAACAAGAGGCTAACACTGTAACCTCTCAACCACGAGAGCATCCTTGACTGTAACCTCTCAACCACGAGAGCATCCTTGAAAAAGCGGTCCGTTTGATACCACATTTACTAACTGAGGAGCGAAAAGAGAGGGGGGGGGAGAGAGAGAGAGAGAGAGAGAGAGAGAGAGAGAGAGAGAGAGAGAGAGAGAGAGAGAGAGAGAGAGAGAGAGAGAGAGAGAGAGATGAGCCACAGAACTGCTCGACATAATTATTTGAACCCCATGGGCCCAAATGACTTACAGACATTGTCACAAGTCATTCTGTTTGGAGTTCCATCAAAATGGCAGGATCGGCGAGACTGGAGACTGGCCTGTTGCTTCATGCCCAGGATTTCAAAGCCGAAAGCGGCTATTTATCACTGCCCTCTCCAATTACGGTAGTCCCCTTGTGATTGATATAATACATTGTAATGCTAGGTTATAATGATTATGAATTTTTCTTAACATGTGTCACGACGCAGTAGAATCTGGCGTTCGTCACTTATGGGCATGTGGAGTTATTGATATAATCTCAATGCAAGTTCTCTGTGTTCTTGATGAAAAACACAATCTTCTATCTTGAATAGAAATCGAGATATTTGCAATTGAAGGAGATGAGCGTTGCCCTGTTTCAGAAATAAAATAGCTAGAAAATGAAAGCCAAAGTTTGGTGAATTCCATAGCTAGAGAGTCCTTGAAAACTGAAAATTTACAATTTTTGTTGTGCCTTTAATCACAGTTTTTCGGTCTATTCATACAGAAATGTGTTTTTAAATGGACATAAAAGGTGTTTAGCCGAAAAAAAAATTCAATACAAATTGCCAAACCAGAGGGGAAAATGCCGGTTTCTTCGATTTCATTATTTTGACGAGCGCCTGATTTCACTGCAATGCGCCCCATGTGGGCAAAAAATGCTTCCCCAGAAGATAAGCTGAAAGACAAGCTTGCTGGGCGAAAATTTGAATTACGCATTCAGGACCTAGTAAGAGCTGTCAATTTAGAGCTGAAAATCTTACCGAATGCTGACTACCACATGTACTTTGACCTCCAGGAGCGGCTGTGGAGGCAGGGATTCTGCTTACAGTGTTGAAGAGAACATTTCGAGGGACTGTGAAAATCCAGGTTCCTAGAATCTATAAAAGTTTTTTGGGATAGTCTACAAATTCGAACATCACTTTTTTAATCCAACCTCGTATGAATAGGACGGGTTCTTGAAGTATTTTTCCTGAGTTGTTAAAGTTGTTAAAAAATTAGTAAAACGATTTTCTAGCCGCTGAAATTTACTGATGCGAGTCAAGTTTGCCAGGACTAGAGTCTCCCAGTCAAGAAGACATACCATACCGCTACTCAGAATTACAAAATTCTACCTGCTCAGAACCTAGTTTTGAGAAATTTTACGTAAAAGTGTTGAATTCCACAATATGTCAAGCCTTTCCGAGTGCAATTCTTTAAATATCTTGAAGAGGACTCCGAATAATCGTATGACTTTGATAGAGCAGAAAGAGCATTTGATTTATGATCTTCTGGTCTTAGTAACTGAAAATGGCCAAAAATGTCAGATAGAACTTTGTAATTCCGAAGTAGCGATACATGTCCAAAGCTGGTCACCACGGGGTTTATTATCTCATTTTCATTTTCAAATGAATATGCTCGTGACTTTTTGGAGAAAAAAATATTTTAAAGCTGTCATGGTTTACGCCGCGTAAACAGGGTTGGTCGCAAAACAAAATGCGTCAGACCCGAAAATTAACGAGTGTCTTGAGCGGCACTTTATCTCGAGAACACACGGAGGAAGGTTTCATTGCAAAACGTACTATATGTCAAATCGAAGAATTTCTGGAAAACCCCGTACGCTCCCAAATCTCATGTTAATAATTATTCATCATATGACATTGAACGGGTTTTATCTTCGTTTAAATGTATTTTTGAAGTATGGGACGTCGAGGTTGTTCATTTAAACACAAAAGCAGATGAGACGTTTTTCATACTATGTATTTTTCTCAGAGCAAAATACCTACATGTATATTATTTTTTTTAGAATGAAACATAGATGTCCGTGTAGTACGTTGCAGATAGACCCCGCAACAAGCCGTAACTCAAGACATGCACAAAACCCTAATAGAATCCTTTAAATCTCATACGACGAATTACCGTGAGTACAATATAGGTTTCATTTGTACCTTTGTTTCCAGAGAATATGGCGGGTTTTTTCTCTTTGTTTTTCCTCTGTTTTCCTTTCAATTTTGTTGTAAATGGAAATACTTCAAATACACATGTGGCACGTTTTGTTACAGGGTCCTTCACATGCTTTCTTTACACATGGTTTGAGTTT